CTTCTGTTTTCAAATATGCAGCACGAACGAACTATATCCACAAACAATTTTTCATGTCCCATAATGGATGACATTTTTCATTTTGCACACTTGGCTTTTGATCGAATGCACGAAACGGGTACGGGTAATAGGACATAGAGTGAACCGAATCGAGAGAAAAAAAATGCTGTCTCATTGTAGAAATTCCGTTTAATGAGAATAATTTTCACCGAAACAACAATGCGAATACAATAAAACCAGAAAATCGATCAGAAATATGCATGCCATGCCAAACGAAGATGAAAAAGAAAATAACAACGTATTATTATTGTATTGCTTGTATAATTTACCTGCTTTTTTTGTTTGCATTCATTTCTGGTGGATTTTGCTGCTGATTTTTAAACGTTTCGCTTTTCCTGCCTCACAACCATTTTCAGCACCCTTGAATATACACTGCATACAACTGTTAAATCGGTCATCATTATTTGTATCTGTGAGCAAAGGTATGTGTGTAAGTGTGTATACGTTGAAATTCGATGAGTCAAATGAAGTGTGTCAATGTTAGGATTTTCCTAAGTATATCGGTGACATCGATTGGAAAACAAACACGGTCACGATGAAAACAACGGATTGTTAGCATTAAAAATGTGGCATGCAAAACGCTTCATTAGTTTCTGTCATTCTTTCTTTTCATTTTCTCTATTTTTTATACACCGTCCGTTTTATAATAGCACTTATTCCATGTAAATTGTACGACATGTCGCTATTGAACTAGACTCTCAGCTCAATGATAATCAATATAGCTAGCCAATTGACTGTTGTTAATTCTTTTTTTTTCCATTTTCTTTTCTCCTATCCATTTAAGACACATAGCCATCATTTAATAAAGTTCAGTTGAGAGGTACTTTGTACGTATGTAAAGTATTAGATTTTTGTATAGATTATTTTCCTCGTTTTCTTGCTTTCGTATTGGTTGGTTTATTCAATTTTATATTATTCATTGTATAAAAATGCTGATTGTTGCGTGGATTATGTCCAGCCATTTTCATAAGTTGGCCTCTTCAAATTGTCAGATGAACTGTAAGACGAAAGTAAAGCATAAAGAACACTAAACTTATTATTCGATTATATTCAATGTTTGGACATTTTTGTCGATATTTAATCTAATTTTATCTTGACGAGAAAGAAAGGTCTAAAATTCGCCGAAACAAGCATACTCAATCCTCTTGAGTTTTGACCATCTAACATTTTCTATATCTTATAAGATAAATTTTCGTTGGGATTCTTCTTTTTCAACTTCAATAGTATGTATGAGTAACACTCAAAAGTTGATAAAATCAAAAGCCGCGACATCTTTAAACTCCATTGTTCACCATCGGGAATAGGCGTAATAGGACTTTTTCATAAGAGTTTCTAGTGAGCTTGATGATAGATGTATCACGAACGGAACGTACTGAAATCTGATATCGAAAGAAGAGGCATAAGCCCCTTTCTGTAAATTGATTACAAATGGTTCTCATACGCATGCACAACAATCTCACAAAGTCAACAGTGTTCATGCAAACACAATGAAATAAATGAACCTCAACAGGCTATAATTGAAAGTAAATTGTACTCAGTTGGCACGGTTCTACAATGTTCTGTACTTTATTACAAAAAAAAATGAACGAGAGATGTGTTTCGAAATATTATATTTCACATTTATGTCATACAAAGTTGAAATTTCGTGTTTAAAAACCACGTTTTTCCATGCGTTAGTACGTGTTAATGTCATTTTGAATTTCAATAGTGAGAGTGCACAGAAACTTACACACACCGAGAGAGAAAGAGAGAGAGATAGAGAATGCGAAAGTGAGAACCATTAGCGGCTTTCAGTGAATGTGAGAATAACCGCAACATTTGCACGTACATATATATCAATTTTGCAATGAAAATGGATAATCATAAAGCTAATGAAATACACTGAACATCGCCACAACATTCAGGCTCGCTGTCATCCAATAACATAATGTAAGAGCTTGTTGCATTAAAACATTGGGTTCACAATCATTTTAAAACTTTTTTCTAAGTGTAAGTGAGGTGCTTTCTAGTGGGTCGTTTGATAAAACCATTCGACGCCTTCCGTATGACATTCTACCAAGTACAGCTTTCAATGAACAATTTTTTTTTGTCATATATTCTCAAGAACACCTCATTGACATGAAAAGCGACCGACGTTCAAACAGAAAAAAAACATTTCACGCTCTCTAGATGATGATGACGGTGCTGGGCCAGCCAATAAAGAAAGATGCTAATAATCATTTTGCTCATATACAAAGTTACATTTTGCAATTTTTATTTTGCAACACAGAAGCAAACATATAAATGAACTTAATTGGAATTGGCGGAGATAAGGCAGTAATGAGAAAACTTGATATACATATAAATTGGAAATGTAATTAAGAAACGCAATACATTGATTGAAAGTTCTTGCTGCGTAGTTTTGTATGCGATAGGGAATTGATTGACTTTAAACAGTTCGAAAAGACATTCGATCGATTAAAATTAGCGGATAATTGTTATCTTATAAAAATAAGAACCTTTGTTTTATCAATTGAACACATTTTTCATACCGCTCAGTTCAATTCGAGTACCAAATTACCTTATTTATTTTTAAAAAAAGAAGAAAATATATATAGTAAACTCATCTTTATTCAAGTTTTTCCATTTTATTGTAAAATGTATGAGTATTTCCCATGGTTTAAGTTAATGTAATAAGTCATTCAATTCCGCTGCATTCTCAAGAAGATTCATTTAGAGTCGACGATAGAAGCAGTGGCTAAAATGGAATATTTTCATATTTAACCAGAGAATCCGAATGATGGTGGAGCACGGCCACCGAATGATGAGGCACCGAATGATGGTTGAACATGGGCACCGAATGATTCTTGTTGTTGTGGGGCATGAGTTTTGAGGTATTCAACAAGACGCAAAACATGAGCTGGGGTTGGTGGTCCAACTGGCAAAATTGAGCCGGTTGGTTGATAACCTGAAGTTCAAAAAAAGAAAAGAAAAAAAAATTAGAAATCATTAAATGTATCAAATTATCTATGCTTGATACACATACCATTTTCGTCAGCAACAAATGAAAGTTGGACTGGTGTGCCATCTGGAGCGGTCCATCCGAATTGACCTTGTGAGACGATGGCTGATTCTGGTCCAATTTGTTTCAATTGACCTTGTTCTTGTCCTTGGATTCCATTTGATGTTTCATAAGCATATTGGAATGAGTCTGTGTTTACAGTTGAATCGCTACGCAAAACTTGGGCAGATGCATCTGGACCAGATTGGACAGGACCATTGTGGTACGTTGGTTTTGGTGCGAATGTTTTGGCGAATGCTCCGTGGTGTGCTTGGTGTGGCAATAAAGCGCAGTTGGCTACTGCGGCAAAAGCAACGAGAACGATAGCCTTCATCTGTAATATTTTTTTTTAAATTCAAAAATTCAAATTCAATGTTTATACCGACTCTATTGTTTAGAACTTGAATCTTCGTCAATATGGAATAATATATGCTAATTATTTGCGATGTTTATTTATAATGTTGCTTTTGAAAGCCAAAAAGGTGTTTTTTTAAGCACTATCCGTATCGAATGTATGTCATAATAAAAATGTTATTTGCAATCACACCATTCGTTTTACACGCGTATTCAAAAGAGAGATAAAACATCACATTTGTATGCTAGCGCGTGCATAATTGCGATTATGGTAATTTTTATGATTTATCTATTATTTTGCGAAGATTCACATCCTCAGAAAATCAATGCAATAACTTTTGATGGCCAATCATTATTTTTGTCGATTTATGTTCAACTATGAAAGATTCCAAATTTAAATAATAAAAAAAATATAAAAAAAATTTTTATTATGAAGGAACTTCTGAAGATGCCGCTTCATTTCACATCTTGGACTACCTGGTTACTATAAACATATTTTTTATGCTAATAACATAATGTTGGGCACTTTTGATTGCATTGATTTAAAAAATGTATGTGAAACAAATCAAATAAATATTTACCATTTTGATTTTTTGTTTAAAGACACAAAACACTTCAACTGATTGTGCTGAACTGATATCGATGAATCGGTGGATGTCATTTATATATGATTGTGATTTGAAACCGGCTGATTCCAAATGTGGGTGATTGGCGTGTGGTGATTCAGTAGGGGGAAGAAATAAATGTATATTTGGTCTCTGGATGACAACAAATACAAAAATGATTCAATTCAAACACATGTATCCACCTATACTGCGTGAGCTAGTTTGTTGTTGTGATTCATCATGTAAATTTATCATATTTGTTGAGGTGAACCATATGCTATTTGACTCACATATCAACGTTCGCTTTGCCAGTTGGTTTACATTGTTTTATTTATTTTGCTCGTTAGTTTGTCCAGAGCGTGGCCTCATCTTTATACCGAATATTTACGTCATTTGCACATATTCGAATGAGAAACCGTATTAAAACAGATAGGTGCCAATCGGACAATGCAAAATGTCAATTTGCAACAACATCACATTTGCATATATTTTTTTTTTTTTTTGAATATTTTATTCTAAAAAGATTTGATTTTTTCTTTCTCAATAACAACGCAGCCAAAAATTTTATACATCAACCATTTATTGGGTCATTCGAGTCACTTTTAAGGCAATTTTATTTGCCATAGGTCTTGACATATTTCCATTTGGATGCACATCGACATATAGAAGAATGAATACTCAATATACAGTTGGCATTTTGTATACAAAAGATTCACATCATTCGAAAAAACAACAACAAAATACTACATTACATTTGATCAACAAACAATTTAATTTGAATATTATAAAACAATCACATTATAAATTTCATTGAACATTTATTCAATAAATTTGAGGAAATCATTTCAGTTTTTAAAACAATGTTTCTTTATTATTTAATAATAATTATTATTTAGACTTGAATGCCAATCAGAATTCAAACAAATGCGTTTTTTGCAATTATTTTGTTTCCCCTTTTTTTGAAGTTTGAATTTTCGCACATAGGATGTTTAATTGTGTGGCATTTATAGGGGTTTTTGAATTCCATATATTTTGTGTACCTATGAATTTTGCAGCTTTGCATTGAATTAAGCCAATATTTGATACGTTAAATGGTCAAAAGTTGCGATGTTTAGCCTCAAATATTGCAGTGACATTTGCCATAATAAGTTTTCGAATGGATTTCGATGTTTCCAATGCTCTGTTCGTTTCGTCAATGATACGTTTGCTCTGCTCTTCATTTAAACACTTTCCATTTTTCATCGTTGTTAGAATGGAAAGGAACTAAAAAATACCCAAAATAAATAGATTAACAATTAATGTAAATTTACCAATTCTTACGACAGTGCAATGTAATATATTGAAAAAATGTCATTGAATGTGAAAATATCTTGTCTTTTGTTAAAATAGATACTGACAAAGCCCAGTAAATCTTCTATATAAGTTTATGTAGATGTAAATAAGACGACTGTCCAAAATAACACATATTCTCCTACCTGCTTTTTGGTATAGTTGTTGTAAACATTCCTAGACAATGTGAGAAGCGTCTTGTACAAATCATGATGTTTTTCCAATACGCATCCCTTGCTAAAATCGTCTTTGAACAATTTAAATGCTTGCAAATCTTTATATTGGCTTCTTGTTGAAAGCCCGTTAAGTAATGACAAGAAATTTATAGCTTTACTGTTGAGATTTTTAAGACTTTGCCAAATTTCTTCGTGTTCTTCGTCATTTGTTGAATTTAACCGTTTCCGAATCAAATCAATAAAACTAGCGTTTGCATCACGAATACCGTATAAATAAATGAGACCACGAGTATTTTTCGATGCAAAATATCCACTGTCAATGGCCGTCTCGAGCAGTTGCTTCGAATCGCGTAAACATGATTCAATCTTAAATTCACAAGCTAATTTAACTGCAATTTCTCGTATTAGATTTTTGTCAAATGGTTCATTTTCATTGGCATCGACTAATGCATGGTGTTCATAGAATGGTTCAACAACATCAGCAACAAATGTTCTAAACTTTTCGTATGCTTTACTTCCTTCAACCAATATATGCTTTATTTTGAACAGAGATCGCATTGCCGACGACCATGGAGCAAATTCAGTTTCATGTTTCAAGTATTGAATTAGATCAAAGTACATGGTTACCGGTAATCGTTTGGTAAAAACAAAATCACTTAAATCATCAAGTAATTGTGCTCGGCTAATTGGATGGATTTTATTGATATCGCCGGATTTCAATTCATTCATTATCAATTTATAGTTTCTTTCATCGTACAAAACACGATAAAATCCAGTTTGTTGCTTATTGAACAACACCCAATCTCCATTGGTCCAATTATGTTTTTTGTTTGGATTAATAACCATCGATTTAACGCCTTTCGGTAACCAACCATCTACAGATGTGTCATTGACGTTGACATTATTGGATGTATCAAAATTATATGGAATATACCAAGTAGTAAAATTTGCTTCTGGACATGGATATTTTTCCAAATATCTTTCTTGTGAAATTTCTATAGAGTCACTTTCATAGTTTCGTTTGACAATGAGCAATGGAAATCCAGCTTGATTGGACCACGAACCAAAAATATCTGTTACATTTAAATGTTTGTCCAAGGTATTGTCCTCTTTAGCAGCACGATCCAAACTCTCGAATAGATCTTTATCAATGGCTGTTTGGAAAGATCTGGAAATGTTTGAAATTCATGTAGTTGAATATATTTTTCTGTCAAAGTTTTGTGGAATTTACTTCTTATTTAGGTAGTAGTTAAGTCCCTTTTTGAAACTCTGTTCACCTAAAGCATGCATAAACATCCGAAGAACCGATCCAGCTATGTAAAACAGATAAATAATGGCAATTATGGGCATCCGAAATTTTCAATTTTTTACTAAATTTAAAAGATAATTTTTTAAGTGAATTTGAGATCTTCTTGCCTTTCATTTTTGAAATAACCCTGCCCTGAACTCGCACATTAATAACTTAAATTGTTTTTATTTTTCCCCATATGAAAGTAATTTTGGTAATTATTCCAATGAATTCTTACATTTTTGGTATGTAATGCGATCAAATAGCTCTGCAACTGCTTTTGGATCTTCAACATAGTATGTCATTGGATGTGTTCCATCAATTTTGTCATCAACTTTAAAAACACTTTGCAAATCGAAAGTCACAAAACTGTCAAAACTATGAAATTCCGGATGAACCTAAAACATAATTTGATTCGCTGAAAATGAATGTCGAATATTTCGGTTTGAAACTTGTCCTACCAAATCAGTGCCAATGTTTTCGAAAAGAGTAGCGAAACCTTCGTTTAACCATATAAAATTCCAAAAATTTGGTGAAACTAGGTTACCGAACCATTGATGAGAATATTCATGTGCTATCAAATTGACAACGTTGAATTTTCTGTTATACGAATAATTATATTCATTATATAATATATATTTTTCCAGGTATGTGACTAATCCCCAGTTCTCCATAGCTGAAAAGAAACACACACACACAAGAAAAATTGCTTGCTTTTATTTCCAAATTCGCACTCAATCAAAATACCTCCAAAATAAAGTTGTGGTATTGCGATTTGATCCATTTTCGGTAAAGAATAGTTAACTTGCAAGTAATCACTAAATGCGTTCAGTATTTTTGCGCTTTCATTAACGGAAAAATATGCGTTTTCAATTTCAATTGGTTTTACGAATACACGATGTTTTAAGCCATTATGATCCAATTGTTCTTTAAATGCGAAATTCGAAACGACAAATGCTATTAAATAAGTAGACATCAATGGTGTTTTGCAAAAGTGAGAAATTGTACGCGATCCCATTCTATTAATTATTTGAAACAAAAAAAGTTGTCATTCAATTTTTTTTTTTTTAATGCACCAAATAATTGAAATACATTACATGACTTGATTGGCCTGTGGCATATTCGAAATGGCCGTATATGCAGAGTTATGTTCAATTGAAATCTCAAAAGTAGCTTTCATAGCGGGTTCGTCCATACACGGGAATGCATGTCGAGCATACGTTGGTTCAAAATGTGTTGTAGCCAGCCATCTATTGGGAATTGGAATTATTTGTAGCTCATTCTGAGATTTCAATTCGAAAACTTACCTTTCTTTGCCATTTGAATCATAATATGATGTACGATAAAATCCAGAAGGTGATTGTTGCAGAGTTCCATTATATTTTATGGAAAGAAATACTCTCATACCTTCAAAAAGTGTATAGTTGACCGTTTTGATGGTTAGAAACTCTGTAACTGGATCGTAGTGTGGGGGAACAATTGATATATATTGACCACCTTCGGCCATTAATTCGGCCGAAACTATGTTCAGCTGTCGTTGATGCACAATAATTGTGTTGGTCGCATTAAGCGTCTTCACTGAGATATTAACCATACCCGAAAAACCAAAATTTTTATTGGCCACATCAGTGGAAATGTATACTTTATACACTTCTGGTATTGTATTATTTGGCAATCGATAATTCACATTGTCCGAATTAAGTTCACCAATATTTGTTACATCAAACGGTTGAACTGCCGAAATATTCAGTATGTTGCACAAAAGTGAACATGTAACAATGAATAACAGTCGCGCCATTGTTCTTGAAAACTACTAAAAGCTAGACCACTCCGTGGTGTTTAAATAGCATCTTTCGATGAAATAATTTAATAAATTTACTCAACATCTTATCATACCATTTTTTTTAACTACTCGTATTTCGCATTTTTTACTTTTTTTATTTGTACTCTCAAGTTTTGTACTTTTCGACAATTTTTTAATAGAAAATTCGTACCGTAATTCAAAAATAGTACTTAAGATAACAAGCTACAAATGAAATGAATGGCAATTAAATCGATTGAGGTCAGACATTATATTAAGATATTTTTCAGCAGCTGATTCAGCTCAGGAAGCTGAACGACAGGCGCTGAAATGGAGTGAACACAATGGAAGCAATTGTTATGTTTATTAAATTACTAACATTGCTACAATACACTATAGCAATCACTTATATTGTTTTCACTACATTTCATCGTCTGTCGTTCAGCTTCCTGAGCTGAATCAGCTGCTTGAAAATATCTCAATATAAGGTCTAATTGAGGTGTGAATAGAAGACAAATAGTGTTGTGTAATATTGTCAAATCGTTATTGATTAGTAGATAAAATGTTTTATTATTTCATCGAATAAGATTAAAATATTTACGAAAAACCTTTGAATGACAGACAAAAGTGTGTTCACGAAATCAGCAACAGTAATTATAATATATAGCTTTTAATTACTAAAAACTATGTAAACTCGAATTAAATAAATCATTTCAATGTTATGTGATCACTACAATAAACATATCAAGAAAAATGTGTTGCCAGCATATTTTCAACCGAATATTATTTCTTACTCATAATAAAATGTGTTGTTCGTGATGTTTTAACTATGGCCAAAGTTCAGATAAAGAGTCTTACATATATTTTGGATAAAAGTTTCAAAATTCGCTTTGAATCGAAAGAAACGCTGTATTCTCAAACTCGAAAAATCTTAGCTTAAAGATTTTCTGCCGACAATTGTACTGATAAAACAAAGCATAGTGTGATGTTTTTTTTATTTCAATTTAAAGTAATTCCATCTTCAGAAGATTCAAAATCCTCGAGTTGTCGTCGGATTTTTTTTATACAATTCTCACATCGAAATCCGAATTAACCATTCATAAATCATTCTTAAATAGATATTCAAATTTGGCACACATTCATATGAAAATGAATGACCTTTCCTTCGTCCCAAAATATAGGTATTATTATATAGTTATAGACACTTTTTTTTTCTATCGCGTCCGTACTAATTCTGAAAGACATAATAGCATAATTCAGTGTAAGATATCTGATGAATAAAAATGTTAATGAAAAAAGCCTCATAAAATGTTTGATAGTTAAGCGTAGGTGTCATTAATGAAATTAATGAAATATCATGAACAATAATATGTCAACGTAGCATTTGCCATACATTTGAATTGCAAGTGCCATTGGTTTGAGTTGCTAAGCCGGCCATTCATACATTTTGACGTGAGTCTTGATCTCTTTTTTTATTGACAAAGTAATAATTAAATCTTCTTCCAAATGAATAAAAATTCGTCATCGATTTTACAATGATAAGAAACGCGAAGTGACCCCAAAAATATGCCATTTAATATTTCATTTTTGCGTGTCATGACGCCAGAAACGACCACTTCAAATTACTTAACGACTTAATTAATGCTCATGGATAACAACAACAATAAAAGAAAACGCTTATAGAAATTGAAATATTATTTTAACTTACAAAGCCCGTACAGTATAAATATACAATTTCTTATATTTTCGATTTCGTATATACGGTTGTAGTTTCATTTATTGTCATAAAACTTTTATACTCGAGATATATTAAATTAAGTTCTTTTCAATTACTTTGAGTAAATTAGTGCGAGCATTGCATGAAAGAAATTATGGAATATGAATTCATTTGCAGAAAACAAAAATTCACAATAAACATGGATATACGTGGTTTGCGCCGCACTGCTTAAGTGAAAGAAATAAAACTCCAGCAAAATACTGAATTTACCGGAGGTAGTTCATTTAACATCATAATACTTTTGCATGTTTCAATGCGACATTTTTTTTCTCTTTTCTCTTTATTATCGCCCGTAATCTAGCTATATACTTTTTATCCACGAATTTACAAAAGAAAATGATTAGAAAAAGATACAAAGTGTTTCAAGTTGACGTTGATAATTCCTTTGTTTAATATTTTATAAACTATTAAAGTGCTCTCTTAAAAAATGTGCTTTTCTATAGAGTGTATTTAAATTTAAATTAAAAAAAAATGAAAACGAAAGGTAAAAATAAGTTCAAAATATTCACTTTATTAAATTAACTCGTAATCATCGAATGCAACACATTTCTGGTAACGATTTCAATTTTTATACGGAGAGAGTATTTACGCAGCAATTCATATACAATAGGTTTGTTTTTTTAATTAGAAAACCTGGCTATTGAAGATTGTAAAATGTATGAGTATTTCCCATGGTTTAAGTTAATGTAATAAATCATTCAATTTCGCTGCATTCTCAAGTAGATTCATTTAGAGTCGACGATAGAAGCAGTGGCTAAAATGGAATGTTTTCATATTTAACCAGAGAATCCGAATGATGGTTGAGCACGGCCACCGAATGATGGTTGAACACGGGCACCGAATGATGGTTGAACATGGGCACCGAATGATTCTTGTTGTTGTGGGGCATGAGTTTTGAGGTATTCAACAAGACGCAAAACATGAGCTGGGGTTGGTGGTCCAACTGGCAAAATTGAGCCGGTTGGTTGATAGCCTGAAGTTCAAAAAAAGAAAAGAAAAAAAATTAGAAATCATTAAATGTATCAAATTATTTATGATTGATACACATACCATTTTCGTCAGCAATAAATGAAATTTGGACTGGTGTACCATCTGGAGCGGTCCATGCGAATTGACCTTGTGAGACGATGGCTGATTCTGGTCCAATTTGTTTCAATTGACCTTGTTCTTGTCCTTGGATTCCATTTGATGTTTCATAAGCATATTGGAATGAGTCTGTGTTTACAGTTGAATCGCTACGCAAAACTTGGGCAGATGCATCTGGACCAGATTGAACAGGACCATGTTGGTACGTTGGTTTTGGTGCGAATGGTTTGGCACCAACGCTGCCAAATGATTGTTTTCCGAATGCTCCGTGGTGTGCTTGATGTGGCAACAAAGCGCAGTTGGCTACTGCGGCAAAAGCAACGAGAACGATAGCCTTCATCTGTAATAATTTTTTTTAAATTCAAATTCAATGTTTATACCGACTCTATTGTTTAGAACTTGAATCTTCGTCAATATGGAATAATATATGCTAATTATTTGCGATGTTTATTTATAATGTTGCTTTTGAAAGTGAAAAAAAGGTTATTTAAAAGCACTATACTCGCTATCATAAAAATGTTATTTGCAATCACACCGCACGCTTTGGATGCCCAATCAAACGAGAGAGAAACTATAACATACAAAGGTATGATGCTTACGCGCGCAGAAAAGATTATGCTAATTTTTTTTCTTTCTTCTTTATGTATTTCACGCTTTTTTATTGCTCAATATCATCCATTTCTAAAGTTCTGAATATCAGAAAAGCAAAAACCGCATTTTTTTATTGTTTTGAAAATGTCAAACCCCAAGTGGTCGCACGCATGATTTATATCTTTTGTTCAATTCAAAATAAAAGACGTTTTTTGTCTTATTGCCGCATGTGGGTGAATTAAATTCCTATTTTCTCAATTTGATTGTTATTTTTATCTTCTTTTATTGTAAATTTAACGCGAATCATTCGGCTAAACCTTGACTTTTCGTACCAAAAAAATGTGAAATTAAATGTTTGAAATGATCGAAATTGACCATTTATTGGTATTTATATAATCTTCATTACGAGCACAATAAATTGTTTTTTTTTTATATTTTGTAATTAAACTGCGATCCAATAACTTATCCTAATGAATAAAAATGGATCTTTTTTGCTTGAAATAAAAACCAGTTGGAATCATAATCAATTGGATAAATGGAGAGCATCTCCACATATCTTCAAGTGAATTAAGTTTTGGCAATAAGTGATTTAGTGATGAGTCTTAATAATTAAAGTCGTTAAATTTCAAAAATTGAAGGGAAAAACGTTTTGAGTGATGTAAATTTCGACTGGTTTAATTTTGTATCCATTATTTATTCAATTTTTTTTTCAGCTTAAAATCGTTTGCTCAGTGAAAACGACGACAAAATGTCCCGACTTACTTATAAATCAGTTATTGTTTTTAGTAATTTGAATTGGCAATTTTCGAGTTGATTGCGAAAAATTGAAAGTAAATAAATGTTTCTTTTCTAAATGAATGAATAAAAGATCGTCAATTTGAACGCAAAGTGCACAATAAAGAGGTAACAAAGACAGCATTAAAATGGAATTGAAATTGTAGAATAAACAGTTAAATGTGAATTGGACTGATTAATCCCATAGATAGAATGCAGCACGTGTATTTGGGTAATTGAACAAATTCGCGGTTGGCAAGTGCGCACGCATCTTGCATGCATAAACACAGATAATCCTGATTTTGCATTAAATCTATTTTTATTATTGTTATATGTTCTTAAAATTGTGCTGAATATATCGGTTTTTGTGGTTCTATTTAACTTGATTTATTTGCAAAAATTCGTAATATATATTGTTAGTACTTTTGATTGCATTGAATTAAAAAAAAATTATGTGAAACAAATAAAATAAATATTTACCATTTTGAATTTTTTTTTATTTTTTCTTTAAAGACACAAAACACTTCAACTGATTATGCTGAACTGATATCGATGAATCGGTGGATGTCATTTATATATGATTCTGATTTGAAACCGGCTGATTCCAAATGTGGGTGATTCAGTAGGGGAAAGAAATACATATAAATTTGGTCTCCGGATGACAACAAATGCAAAAATTATTCAATTCAAACACATGTATCCACCTATACTGCGTGAACTAGTTTGTTGCTGTGATTCATATTGTTCCATTTGCTGATATGAACAAAATAGAATTTGGCAACGTTCGATTTACCAGTTGATTGGCATTATTTTATTTATTTCGCACGCTAGTTCGTCCAGAGTGTGGTCTCATCTTTATACCGAATAATAAACCGTGTTAAAACAGGTAGATGCCGATGGGACAATGCAAAATGGTAATTTATTAAATATCCTCTCTATTACCATTGTAAACAATAAACGAATATTTCTGTTTAATAAAAAACAGTGTTTATTGTTGTATTCATTTTTTCAATTTGCAACCGCACCACATTTGCATTTTTTTTTAATGTTTTATTCTGGAAAGAGTTGACTTTTTCCTTTTCAATAACAATGTAGCCATAAATTTTTATATTTAGACAATTTATTGGGTCATTCAAGTCACTCTAAAGGCAATTTTAAATCCTGACATATTTCCATTTGGATGCACATCTATATAAGAACGAATACTCAATATACAGTTGGCATTTTGTATACAGAGGAATAACATCATTCGAAAAACAACAACAAGATGATATATGTCATTCAATGTTTTCAATAAATAAAGTATCGTTGACCAACAACAATTTAATTTAAATTTTATAAATAAAACACTTTATAAGTTTCACTGAACTACTAAATGAATTGATTCACGGAATTTGGTGTAAACAACAATTATTCCTCTCTTTTAAAGTTCATGGATGTTCAATAGATTTAAAGAGATCATTTCTTTTTTTAAAACAATGCGTTTTTATCAGAACTAAAAAAATTCAATCAAATACGTTTTTTCTTTTGAACTATGACTTTTCGGACATAGAATGTTTAATTGTGTGGCATTTATACGAGTTTGTAAATTCGATCCATTGATGAAAATATACAAAGATTTGGTGTACCTATAAATTGGCGGCTTTGCATTGAATTAAGCTAATGTTGAATACTTTAAATGGTCAAAAACCGTGACTTTCAGCCTCAAAGCACTGACATTTGCCAAAATGTGTTTGAATTCAAATGTTGATTTTCTATTTAAAATAACAACATATTTACATGCAAATATCCAATTTGGACATGATGAATACAAGCATGTCATAACCGAAATTGCTTTCAGCTACAGATTCGTTTACTTGAAACCCATAAGTCACGTGTCAATACAAATCTAGCATTAAATATGTATTTCATCAAGTTTCATTGACATTTCATTTTAAGGGAAAGTCGCAATACTGACCTTTTTTGTTCATTGATAGAAGAGATGTGTATGATGCTTTATTACAAAGAGTGCAATGCAATAACAAAAGCAAAAAAACACTCTAATTTCCGGAGTTCAAATAAATGTGGTGCCACCAATTCAATTGGGGAAATACAATGAAAAAAAGATGTCAAATCAAATCATGAAACTTTTGACAAGATACATGAATAATCAATGAATTTACAAATGAATTTTATGTCGAAATCTATAGTAGTCATAAAACATCAGGCAGATCTGATAATCTCCTCTGACACATTTCAAACACCTTTATCAAAATTCGAAATGGATTGTTAGATTAATTTACATTGCACCTATGTAAATTGGTATGGTTTCAATTACCATTTGCGGTCTATCCAATACGTCAACATTTTAATAATTAGCTTCACTCTTCCTTTTGAGATTTATGATTTCGTCGTGTGTGTGTGTATGTGTGAAGAAAACTTGTGCTATCGTGAGATAGTTATTTAATTTTTAAAACGTTCATATCGAACTTTTGAACGTTTCAACCGTTGAAATTCAACGTTCACTTTCAAAACTTTTCAAGCTTTTTTCCATTAAAAGAACACCACCCATACACTTTATTCATGAATCGAAACCCATAGAGAAGTTTGTTAGTGAGTTTCAAGAATATTCTCAAATGCAATGGTTCTAGTGATAGAGGAATTGTTGATGTATAGTTTCAGGCGTTTTTTCATGCAGTGTTTTTTCGCGTTTTTTTTCATCGATTATAGCCCAATGCGGTTATTAAAATTATGGACGATTCATAACAGTTGAACTTTTAAACCAAATTTATGGCCATCGCACTGAACATCGATCAAAAATCATCGTTAAATATTATCCATGATGATGACTTTTGCAGCCCAATTTTTTTTACGCCATAAATTTGAAACGGTCACTGACTAATAAAATATTATCCATTTCGTTTGCACATTTGATTGGCTATTCAATTTGATAGGTTAACAAACGTCCTGATCGACATCGATTAATATCGTCCAGAGAAATTCGCGACAAAAAAAAAACAACAACACATTTTATGACTATTATTTAGATAAAGACCAACTTTATATGAATCAAAACCATATTTTTTGCTTGTGATGGCTATACATAACCGGCGACGAATCTTTGATAGATTTTGGTGAGGTTAACCAATCCGGTTATTGAAATGGCTTATAAAATGACGGCCGATTAAGATGAAATCACGAGCTACGCCTAATAAATTATGTGAATTGCCATCATTTAATTACAATATCTGTTGAAAAATTATAACAAATATCAAATATTTCACGGGCAACGTGTGACAATTCATTTCTAAAACAACAAAAAAGCAATAATGAATATTCATGGTTTTTTTTTACTATTCCGAGTGTGGAGCAAATGTTTAAAACAAAAAAAAATTATAGCAACCGGAATCAATCAAAATATGTATGATTCGAGATATTAGTAAAAAAAAGTATATAGTATTTTAATCTAATCGATCGCATTTCAGTATTATCTCGTGTCATTTGTTATGAATGTGACATTAAAATATTTTATAGGAATAAATTGAACAAGTTTCTTGTGGAACATCGTTTTGAATAGGTTCAGTTTTTTTTTTTCTGAATTCATACTTTATATGAAAGTTTGCTTAATTTAAATATTCTATTCTCTTTCACTCGATGTTTTTGGTTTTGAAGAAAGTAGCATGAAATTCAGAGTCCATTATTTTATGAAAATCGATCATTTTTTCATTGCAAATCATTTTTCACGTGAAAATCTTTCTCGTTTGTGAGTTGAAATGAAACGAAACTATTTATATCATGATCAAGAAAAATCCGTAGTTACGTTTATTGCTTCATAGCCGTTTATAAAACATGAAAGTTAATGTGAAATGTGGATATTGCTGGTTTTATTTTGTGGAATCAGCGAGAAGAGCAGCAGTTGTCAAGTTTATTGAATGTGAACCCGAGCGTTCGCCGATTCTGGAGCGACTGGCAAGTGAGCACCGCTTGCATGGAAACCTGGTCAATTAATGGCAATTTAAAATCATTTCAAATGTAATCGTCTTAATAGAATTATTAGCATTACCATTTTCATCAGCAACATAATCGACACGGAAATGTTGTCCTTCGGGACTTGTGAATTCGTAGAATCCAGCCTTTTGTTGTGATTTTGATGGCAAAACTTGTGATTGTTCATTGACATGAATTCCATTTTCAGTTTCGTATTCGTATTTATAGTCACCAGTTGATGATTGTTCACGGTATTCACGTAAAGTTTGCGATTGTCCATCATTGTTGAAGCGAGCAGCTGGAATGGAAACAGTGATTTGTTGTGGAACATCAAATGATGGAGCAACGAATCTTGGAACGGCCACTTGTTGTGGAACCGAAGCTGGCTGGGCCAACGGTTGAGCTAAAAATCTTTGGACAGCCACTTGTTGTGGAACCAAAACCGGCTGAGCCAATGGTTGAGCTAAAAATCTTGGAACAGCCACTTGTTGTTGAGCCGAAACTGGATGGACCAATGGTTGAGCTAAAAATCTTTGGACAGCCACTTGTTGTTGAGCCGAAACTGGATGGACCAATGATTGAGATAATGGTTGAGCAATCACTTTTGGAACAACAGATTCGATTGGAATAGCACCGTGATAATATTTTTGATAATATTTTCCTGGTTGGTAATTAACGTTTTGATGACGATATTCGCCTCCGTGGTGTTCTGGGTGATAGCTTCCATCATCATATTGGGCTGATACAACAGCGACAAATGCAGCGAACAACTATTTATATAAGACAAACAAAGAATTTGAATCATTTTCAAAAAGATAATTGCATTAAAACTATTTAATGGAAAAACACAAAAACTTCAGTTTTTCACAATCAACAACACTATTTTCACATTTGGACTTTTCAAATATTTTCCTACCAAGAATTTCATTTTGTTAAATTGAACCAATTTGATTGACTGAACAATGAAAAGTGAATAATTTCGTCTCGGCAATCATTGTATTTATATGATTCGATGTCTTATGGTATTCGTGGATAAAAATCAATTGCAATAAAATAAATGCTCTGTTTAAGGAATAGAATTCGTATACAAAAACCACATCAAATGACATTTTCGATAAATATAAGAATGCGAGAGCATTTTAAATTCACATTTTAAAACGCATAGCATCATTGCTAGTATCGATTGGGTGATAAAATGTTACAAATACATTAAATTGGGTGATTGATTAGATCAGTGCATTTAATATATGTTGTAAAATCACCATCTTTAGCGCCCATGGCTCTCTCTCTCTCTCTCTCTGTGTGTGTGTGTGTGTCTCTTTTACTCTTCTAAACCAATCTCAACTTATTTCGATACAGTTTTATTGAAAACCAATAGATTTATCAAAAAGATTTTAATTGGTCCAATATTAATTGTTAACGTTAAATGTGACTCTTGCACGAACCATCAATGACGATCATTAAAACGATTTTATGGCACTTTGAAATGCATAACAAAATGCTGGTTGTCTTCAAGAGCACAAAAAAAGACTCATCATCGATTGCTCTTATCGCTCGTCTTTATTTGGCAAATGTCAATTTTGATCGCAATCGTAGTTTTTTTTTATGTGGGCCATTTGATGTGTTCATGAAAAGAACTTGGCCGGTTAAATAAAAATTAACGACAAAAAATGTATGCAAAGATTCAAGGACGTCATTTGACGTCAATATAGTTTAATTAAACTAAATTTGGTTTAGAACTCCTGATTGTAATGGGTTAAATATCATAACAAATTTTCTTCAATAAGTTCGCATAATATCGATATTTTCAAAATTTTACTGTTTTTATTCATGCGAACAAAAAAAAAATCAAAGAAAGTGATAAATGGCTGGTATCTAGTTTACCGGTATGAAATACAGAACAAAATCTGTCCGAAATAGGAAAAGAAACCGGTCAAATTCACCGGCCCCAAAATGATAAATGGCACTTATCTAATCAAATTTGAATACATAATTAAGTATTTTACGAGCTTGTTTTCGCATGTTTTCGTGTTAAAAGATCTCTTTTTAGTGGGTTTTTCTGGCCTCTGTCGTCAATACGTGTATAACACACACCGTAAAAAGAGTGTAACAAACACACGTCAAGGTTTCGACCTTGAAATCTCGTTTTCATTTCTTGTACACATTATTCTAAATATAAAATACACCGTATCGCACTTGAGTGCGATAACGATAAAATCATCTTATTGTCTGGAAAAATCAAGCTCGGATCAAAGCACAGAGCAACTGACGTCTTTAAGTTAGATAGAGAAAAGAATTTTAAGCTTTTGTAATTGCTAATGATTAGCAATGGCGTTAAATTTATAGCTGCAATTCATACATCTATATTAATGATGATCCTATTGAATGAAATAATAAAACTTTGCGCCAGCATTCATTTGGTTTTTTTTTTCACTCTAAGATGTGACAAAATTAAATATGACGAGAAAAAAATGTTGACACATTTTGAATGGGCATCATGTCTCATGGGGACTTATCTGTCGGTTTTTTTTTTTGGATAATGATTTCTACCAAAAATTTCATATGATCGATGGATTTCTATTGTGTTTGTTAGAACCGGATCAGTGCGCACGAAAAACAATAAAATCATCCATACAAATGATTTTGTTAAAAACGGCAGCAGACAAAACAGATATAATATCTAAATTGGATTAAAAGGTTTACGATATCGAATGGAATTTGTGCTTTATTCTCTTTTCAAGCATGATAAATTATTAATGCAATCTGCATAATCTTTTGAATCAATTTGTATGCATTTCGATTGATATGCGATTGATGATTTGATAAATTCATCCTGACACACCCGATTCTAGCGTATTCTTGTTTTCATCCATATTTGTTTTTTCATTCAATCTGATTGAAATCGTTGAAAAAAAAAACTCCAGAAACGCAAATTTATTTCAATGTTGCCATACAAACCTTTGAACACTGGATGCCATTTAAATGAACCGTTTGGAGCAACTTTTGAAGAAGAGAAAAATAAAATAAAATATTCATTTCTTCTAAATTGGCCGAAAAAAAGTCTTTGTTTTTTATTAAATCAGATTCTAATGACTAATTTACAAATGATTACTCTAGAATTAATAGAATTGAAATAAACTAATGCACTTTTTTAAGGTTGCGTCCAAAGACTCGAATTTTCAATTCGTATCAAAACAGCTGAACTTCAATGTAAATTTATTTTAACGAGAGAAAAAAGGGTTAATTGTTTATTACAATTGGAAATGTAATTGAGTAACTGAATAAGAAATAGAGCGTTAATATGAACAATAAAAGGATTGTTTTCATTCGGCAGTATGTTGCAATTGAATGTGACACTTTAAATGGAATGAAAATGTGCAAGGTTTTAGGGGTAGGATAAACACCATAAATCTGGTATGATCAAATAAGTGCGGTGGATGAGTATGGATGGTGGGGAGTGTTCATATTAGTACGATCTGTATTCTTGGTAATATTCGATTTATAATCGAATCATCTTCATATTTTCTCAGTTATCACAAAAATTATCTCTCACTCGATTTTGTTACTTAAGCCTTAAATTATCGATTTTCAATTCCGATGTATGTATGTGTATGAATGGTGTATGTATGGCAAGGTGCACACCGTCGATTTAGATTAGCTACATTTATTCTTAAGCAGTTCGATACATTTAGATCAGATTGCGCTCTTTCAAGCTGTTCAAATGCTTTTGAATGGATTTATGGATGTGGTCTCCCTGTAGAAAAACAAAGAACTGAATTACTATACGAATTTCAACGAATCGAATGCTTTTATGGTACTGACCTTTGGAACAAATCCTTGTTCGCCAGCTTCATATTCAACGCGATAGACTTTGCCATCGTCACCGACATATTGATACCAGCCAATACCGCTGGTGCCTTCCTTTTCTTTTCCGCTCACTTTTCCAGCTTCTTGTGCAAAGATTTTGTTCTCAGTTTCGAAACTAAATCATGATTTAACAAACAAAAAATAGGTACATGTTTATAATATTCATTTTTTTTAAAATCACATTTGATGTGAATACGGGAAACTCCATTCAAAATTAATTTTCAAAATGTCTAGTGTAGATGCTCTGCTCACAATATAACTTACAAGTAATCGTATTTCTTTTGTTGTTTATTCTCTTCTTGTCGAATGATTCTCCATTTGCCTTCGTCATCGTAGCGTGTACGTGGTCGGGTTGGACGTGCCGTGGTTGTTGTTGATGTGATTTCAATTGTTTTTGGCTGTGAATGAAATAGGGATCGTTTTTTTCTACTGTTCAAACTGTCACCGGTTAAGATAGTGGTGCTATCAAAGAATGAAGAAGTCGCATCGGTAGTGGTTGGTGTGTCAAGAAGAAGATTGGTTTCGGTATCGGTTGATTCGGGAAATTTTGGAGAGGATGGTAATAATGGTATATTTGGAAATCCGTAAACAAGTGGAATTTCAGGCTTTGGAATCTCGTATCCTTGTTCATTGTACGGATGATATTCACTGGAGCTACTTACGTGTTCGTAGTCACTGCATTGGATGAGAATGGCACGCACAAGACACCGATAAAGAAACATAAGACACGAATGAATACAAAGTTGAAACAAATGTTTACATATTTAATGGCGTTTTTTTATTCTTAATTTCAAACCAAAATTCATATTCTTTAAAATTCGCAACGTTACAAATAAAAAAAAATTGAATATAAAGCCGAATTTTTATAAACTTGTTTTTTCCGGCCAAACCTTTTACTAAAAATAAATCGATTTTTGGCACCTGAAACCATATGTACTGGCTTCATTGTGAATACAAATTGTTAAATTTCTGCTACAAACAAAATCACTTGAAAAACTGATACGAAATCACATAATCGTTTGTATGCTAATGCTGTTTTGACACGATTTTTTTTGTGCAGCAATGTGGTTTGACTGTGATCGCACGACGTATCGAAGGTGTGTATATTTCAAATTGGTGATGTCTTTCATCTACGACTCAACCAACTTAAATCGCATCGTTTCAATCGAATCAAAAATGTGAGCATAAAGCTTAATAGACTAAAGCTGTCCATTATGCGAAAAGCCAAAGGAGATAATATAGTGAATGTAGACACTGATATGGCCATCTCTATGTTATTGAAATGGATAGCATTTCGTAAACAAGGGAATACCGATGTGTACATAGATAGTCGCATTGTAGTTCCTAGCGTTTGAAAATCCCCTAGCAATTTTACTTATGAGAACGTACGTTTGCACAAGATATTATGAACTTTTGTAGAAAATATCTTTGATTTGTTGGGACTTTGTGAGCCACATTTTCTCCCGAAGGAGTGCTCCCGACGTTATCGATTTTAATCTGAATCTCTTATCAATTTTTGTACCGGGTACTTTTACACAAGATTGAATCGTTTTTCGCCTGAGATCTCCCATCGATTTTGGCCTTGTCTCCCCAAAGTTACACCAGTGCCAGAACCTATTGATGTGCACTTTGAAATTCATGGCCAAAAAATTACTTTCGCAAATACGCAACACAGACTCCATTTACTTTGTATGTTGCATTTTTAGAAAAACCATCTTTTGCTCACGATTTTCAATATCCACTCCCACTTTTATTCTCAACAAACCATTTGAATTCATATCGAGTTACTTTGACTTTCTTGTAAAGCGTCTGTTACCACATAATTTACTATCGTTAGATGGCATTAGTTTCAGTTTCATCAATTTGTTTTCTCGTCATTCGTAATGCTTGCCATACGAAAAACCAATTCGTATTCAACAACGTGCGTATATTGAAAAAAAAGGCAAATACCGATTGAATTGATTATCGACTTCATTTTAACAAAATTTTATTTCATACACGACACATTTTACTATCGCATATGTGTTTGTTGAGAAATATTTCAAACATAAAGAGATTATATTCGCTCATATTATCCTCAAAACGAATCAGTTTGAAATGACGGAAAAAAGGTTTCCATTGTATAAACCAGAAACATCAACTACAATTGAATGGAATTCAATGTCATTCATGTTAAACAGCAGCGCAATGTTCCGAATTGAGGAAAAAGGTAACATTTTGAATTGTTACCACCGTTTTGTTCGTTGTCAGCAGCTATAAAAACCGAAATGATTTTGCCAATTTCACCCGAAGCCATTTGAATAAATATACCAAGCAATCTTTTAAATATTCAATCGAGTTCCTTAAGAATTAATGATAATTCAGTTGAAATACTATCAGGTCGTGAATCTGAATTCAATGGAAATTCAATATTACGATTTGTATCGACAGCGGAATAACTATTTTGTTCACAATTTAAATATGATACGTGCTCCGACATTGTTATTATATGTCAAATAAGAAACTTGCACCAAAAATAACAAAACCATATCGCATTTGAGTATCAAGCTTTTATTGTTTGTCTGCAGCAATCAGAAGTCAAACATTGAACCCCAAATATCGAATGAATCATTGTAATGTAGATTGCGAAATGTAAACTCCAAACTCTTTATTTACTTTGCCCATAAAAGAAACGGAAACTTTTTGTTTCGAAACAAAACTTACCCGTCGTGAATGTATGGAACTCCTTCATGCAAATATGGATTTGGCATGTGATCATATGGTCCATATCCGCCGGTGTATGGAATGTGAACATGCACATATCTTCCCAATTCACGTCTATCATGTACATGATGGTATGTTCGGTCATTCATTGGTATATATTTTCCTAAATTTTATTTCAATCGCCAATTCACAATTTACAAGTTGGTTGGAAAGTTGAAAGTGCCATTATGAGTTGATGGTGTGTGTGTGTGTGTGTGTTTTTGAAACAAAAAATAAATAAATAAAAGAAGAGAAAAAAATCGAATGCAAAACAAATTAGCAATAACTATGGATGTAAACAAGTCAAAAAGAAATATTTTTGTGATATCATTAGAATGCATTTAAAATATTTTTTTGAACAGATAACGATGTGCGCTAAAATCACAAAATAAATTGCCTTGATCGTCGCGCATAAATAAATGTGCAAGCAAAAGTGAGTGGGCAAAAGGGGGAAACAAACAACCACAAATGCGCGCAAAACAATTTCAAATTGGTTATTGATCGCGGGTACAACCGATGGCAAAAAAAGGTGTGATATCATTTGAATAAGATGTCGAGCGCGCGATAAATCAATTAGGAAATGGAATTTCATTCCCATAATTGTATCGTAAGCTCATGCATTGCTGGCATTTAATAGCGAATTCATATAAATTGTTGTTGTTGTTATTGTGATTAACACGTAAATTGTTGAAATTTTGCATCCGAAATAAGTAAATATTGGCCACAATAATAATTAATTCAATCAATGTGGACGAACGTATGAGCGACAAATAAAAACAAAAACAAAAAAAAAATATGTGTAGAATTTGAGCATCAGCAGCTCAATCGATTTGTGTCGTAGAAAATTTATGAGTCAAGTTTTTTTTGCGTCGTCTGCTCCGTTTTGATGTGTCACCTGCCATCCGTCACGGGTGTTATCATATAGATTCTTTTTCGATTTCTTTTTATTCGAATGGGTAACGCGTCGACTTTTTGAATGGATTCGTAAAACGAGTAAACAAACCCCCGGCCCCATTTGGCCATTTTGTATATTTTGTTGTTGGTCTCGCCGTCTGATGACAGATCCTTTTCGATATTCATACTCAGCCGAAGAATGAAAGTCGTCATATCTTTATGTTATTTTCTTTTCTTTGTTCTCTCTCTGTGTTTTTTTTTTTGTTGCTCGAAAATCACTTACCATCAGCGGCGCGTCGGAAGAACACTTTGGAATGGTTGACACATTCAGTGAATGTGAATGAATAAAAAAAGAGAAATAGAATTTTTCGATTATTATTATTGAATATGGCCATTTATATTTGGAGTAAAAGAAGGTTAAAGAATTGTTCGCTTTTGCCATATCATTTGTTTGCGAATTTTGTTGATAGGGAAGAGGGCCAATAGATACAGCACGAATTACGTCGATTGTAGATTTAGTGCAATGTACCCGCTGGCATAGAACATGCGGAGCAACCAATTTATCAAAGTGCGCAAAAAAAAAACGGTTTTTTCTCCTTGTTGTGTTTGTTTGCTTACTTCGTTCGAATAAACTACATATAACGTATAAAAAAAGTCTACACACAAAAAAATGTTCACATAATATGAGATGAATTATGAATATGAATATATTTTCAAGCTTGATGACAGAGAAAAAAAAGAAAGAGAAAGCCACAAAGAAACAAAAATTTTTTTTGGAGAGAATATTCAAATGTACAAATCACACAAAGCACGTATTTTCAACTTCTTAAGATGTCATTCATTCGATTGTAGTTTTTCTTTGATCATGCTTTAGAAGACTTTGTTCCTTTTTTCTCTCCTCATAATATGGAGCAAATTATCAAAAGAATAGCCAAAAGATTATATGTTTACAGGTGACAAAAATAGTGTCACTAGTAATCAAATACAGAAATAAAAGGTGAATATCAATAAAAAAAAAAATAGATCCCGCATTCGTGCACACACCCACACACACACGACGGTATTTTATGAGAACAAAAAATGAGATACAGAAAAAGAAAAAGAAAAGTTCTTCTGATTTCGCATTTCCTCTGAAAATGACCCTTTTTGATTTCAGCAAACTCTTTGAAATCGCACACCAACGCACATAATCGAGAAATAGAGAAGAAGTTAGGAATATTTGAAATAGTGATAAAATACGTTGAAGCATTTTTTTGTTCATTTCAATGCGTAATATTATTCTTGGAAGGTAGCATACTTTCAGTGAAATGTAATCTAAAAATACAGACGAGTTTATATTCGAAAATTCTATAAATATTGACATCTCTTTTTATTCAACTATTTTCTTGTCATTCATATCAATTGACAATGTGTGTATGTGTGTATGTGCCACAGACACTATGAGTTTCTTCTTTTCCGGTATCAATTTCCACGGGAAAAATGTGTGTTTCAATTTTCTTGTTTTCATTCAGAATTCGATTTGCGACGATGATGATACTCATATTGGTAAGAAGGCGAGCATTTTCGATAAAGTTGTCTACATTGATAAAACCATTTCCAATATGAATAATTTTATTTCCTCTCGTTTATTTTGCCACACATTTGTTTGAAGTAAAACATGATTACATATACTGTGGCATATTTTCAACGCTTTTGAATCATCAAAATGGTTTTGAATGATAGACATATTGGACAATATTTGTGAAATGTGAATAACGCAAAAAATGAACACTTTGACAATAGCATCGTCAACAAATGTTGAACGTATATTCTCAAAAAAAAAAACTGAATTCCGTTCAAATAAATGGTGTACCGTCATGATGAAAAAGTAGTGTCTCAATTGCAATTTTCAGTGAAAAACAAATTGATTGCTCGAAACCATATTTACGGGTTGTTTATTGGAAATTCGCTATTTGTATTATTATTGAAATGAAATCGAAATAATAAAGTCATATTGACAGCGGTACTTCTTTGACCCAACAAACGGCAAAATGGTTGCCTTTATTAAGTTTGTCGAAGCCAATTTTGAATAGAGAAAAACACTCCATTTCGAAAATAAGTAACGATATTTTTCCAACGATTTTTAAAAATATATACACGCACCAGTTCAGCCCAAATAAACGATTTTTTTTTGCGACTGGGCTGAGTTAGTACGTGCTTTGAGACTTGAAATGGTTTCCATCTCTTTCTATCGCATGCTAAACAACATTCATTGTCCTGAATACTAATTTTAGTGGCACGTATCTTTTGAGTATTTTCATCATCAAACAACCGGCCAATGTCTTAGTTCCCCCGTTCATTTCAGTCGATTACACAATAATGACCAAATATTCCGGTTGACGTGTATATGAAGAAAAATCTCTTGAATAAATGTGGAAAAATGCCCATTAATTGATGCGCACAACACAACGGATGTGAGTTGAATGAAAACGAAATCATTTTTGTTCATGCATTTGTCTCAGTTCACATCTGAATGGGTTATAATTTAGCTTTATTGTGATACGTCAAGTACAATTCCTTTTTTTCTTCTCTTTATTGTTTGTCTTTCATTCACTCATGCTTACGCTTACGCTCACGAATTGCATCAAAGTGTGAATGCAAAGAAAATGACTCACATACGAAAAGTCTTGGGTCGAATATTACGTCTTAACGATGATGAATGATTATGATGGTGTTGACGGGTTTCGTTTATGAAGGAAGCACTCTTTCTCTGAGCACAATGCACTTTGTTGTATCGTGTGTATTGTGAACTATGAGACAAATTGTGTGTGTGTGTGTGTCAAATTATGAGCACGTTCAATTTTTCGTTGTCATCATTTAACCAAACAAATTTGAACTGACAAAACTTCTATGTGCGGTCAATTTGGCAAGTTGATTGCTTTCGACAATCATTAAATATAAATAATAAACGAACATTAATTTGCAATGGGACCAAGCAATTTATTATTAGCTTTGTTCTTGCTTTCTCACTCTTTCTTTCTTTTATTTATTTATTCTTCTTTTTTTGATATCTCAAATTTGATTCATCTTTTATTGTTAAGACAAACTTAAGTTAAATAATTCGTGATTTCTCTATTAATTGACGGATATTTTTGTTCATTTCAAAAACGATATTGAATTGTCTGCTATTAGAGATTTTTTTTCTAAATCTATCTCTGTTTCTTTTCGATTACTAAACGAAAAGTGATTTTATTTTTAATTACCAAAGCCTCGGCGCTTGTCATCGTTTCTCGTACGCTTCCTTGTTATAAATTTTGCCAGAGGCTATTTAAAACCATGATATAGCCAGAGAAATAGAAAAAAAATAGCATATACAATCTAACAATTAAAAAAAGGCAATTGAGGGAGATTTCATTTCCGCCTGGGAATTGTGAGCGATAAAATCGATTTATATATGAGTTTTTATTACCTTTATAATCGGTTCTTTTCGGTTTAAGTCTATAATCCTCTCCATAGAGAGGGCAATAATAACAACAACAAAATATACATCCGCATACGAATATTTTGTATAAAAAAGAATTGAAAGCATGTGTACTTTTGGGCTCATGTATCATCACTGAGAATAGAGGATAAAAATCCAACAAAGCTTTGATGAAAAAATCATAAGAGTCTTCATTTGAACATGCTTTGAATCGTTTCAGTTTTTTTTTCTGAGCATACACATTCAACGAGAGAAAATCATAAACGACATTTTTCTCTCCATCGAAACGAACGTACGTGTTTGTTTGTTGTCTAAATGAACTAAGCTTTGCATATACAGAGACACACATGCACAAAAAAATACTTGAGAATATATGTGTTATGAGAGTATACTTCACTCTAAGCGATTTTTTCTTCTTCTTCGTTTTTTTATGTTTTCGTTCATCCATTTTTGACTATTATTTTAGCAATCGTTTGCACAGCACCATACAAGCTTAGAAAGTTGCGTAAATTTTTAATGAGCTTTTTTACTTTATACATTTTCAATGTCTTTTGTTTCATTTGAAAAATCATCAAGACACAACACAATATATCGCATTACTAATGACGAGCCAATTTTAAAGCAATTGAATATGAGGAAGTGATTTATATGATATATTATACATTATATATTTGAACGACGAAATGTTTATTTGCTATTTGAACATTTTATCGATTTCTAAAGAAACATCATTTCATTTTTTCTACGGCGAATGTCGTCGCAAGTGATGCCGACAGAATAGTCATTTTTCTTTCGTTTTTTTTTTCAATCATTTGAAATTCCATTTCGTGTGAATTCATTTGCAAAGCTTCCGCCGATGAAATTAACTTTTTTGTTTCATTCCTATTTCAAGCAACTAGATACGAGGAGCGAAATACGAAAACGAACGTAAATTGAAACAGTGACCCAAAGATTCGCAATTTAGTGGTTGGAACGAGATAGTATGGAAAGCGTAAAATTTAAGTAACATTCTTTCTTCTTTGTTCATATTTGCTTCAGTATGAATCCTTTTTTTCTTTTCGGTGTACAAATGCTTGGCTCTGTTTTTTCTTTTTTTTATGGCACTTGCTCACTCGGTTAAAGTGTTAAAACAAAAGGATTTGATGATAAAGAAAAGATTTACATGGCTAACAAAAATGGTTTTGTACATTTTATATATGAATAGTAACATGAGTGTACAAGTATTGAGTGAATTTCACTGTACAAATGGAAATGGAATGTATAACAAATGAAAATATGTAATATTTGCACAACGAATCCTCAAGAAAAGTATATATACTTTGATTGTGTGTATGTGCATCGTTCGCTTTGAATCGTTTGTGTGTTTCATTTTCGTTTACTTTTCTTTCATTATTATTTGCACACATTTCATCCACTTTGCTTGAATCGTAACAAAAATGTATGAGTAACACTTGGAAGAAGTGCTGTGAGTTGGCATGATCCAGTCGAAATGTCTTGCAAATGATGTACTTAAGTGTGCTTTTTCACAATCCATAGCAAAGGTCGACTTATGATATGCAATGTGATTTGGATGATGTGTCGACAGTGTGTGCAATGCCAAAGAAAAAAAATTGCACAAATTTTCTAAACTGATTTCAAATTATATTATCGACATTTGTCAACTACTTCATGAAAATGGAACTTCAATTCGAATTGGTGTAAGTGATTTTCGAAAGAGTTCTTCACATCAAAGTTGTGTGAATGCCCGCCCACGAAATTCCATTACACATTCCACCAGATTGTTGGCAACAGTGAAGGTAGATTATTTGATTTAAATGTAAATAAATATTAATGTCATTCTGTTTACACTAGTATGCTTCCTTGCCTGTTGCCATCGTGCTCTATCTATTTTATCTCGTTTTATCATTTATTTTGTCTTGCTATTTCATCTCTTGAACACTTTTTTCGACAGACATACGCCAATCAATGTGAATGAATCCGCTTTTTTTATTATGATGGTTTTTTTCTTACACTTTCGTTTCCTTACTATACATTTGCAATTGATGTTTTCGTTTGCTTGATTCAATTAATTTTGAAGCTTTCATATACATTAACTATGTGTGTCACCTGCAATACGAATTTAGAATCCTTTACTTTGTTTAGATAAATCTGTTGGAATTATCATTTGAATGTGTCGAACTATGAAGCGAACGTGTGCAAATCAAAAACATAAATTCAAGATGTCTATGTGCACTTTGCCCTTCACTCTCATCACATTTTTTTCTGTTGCTAGTGTACCTTTGAGCTGAATGTGGATCGCTTTATTTTGATGCATATAAAAGCAAAAAGACCCGTTTTATGTTGAATGAATGACAAAAATACGTGTGAAAATCTCTGTTTCTCTAATAATCGGTCTGTGCTTTTTCAAAAAAACGTTTTATTACAAATCGATTAAAGCAAATCGCCAATCGTTGAAATCATTTTTTTGTTGCTATTTTCTATTCGAAAATATCAGTAGCGGTAGACAAAATAAATTGATTCAATTTAACTGAATGACAATCATTGAACCATTAAAAAAAAACTATCAAAATCGCCATTTGGATAAGTGGCATCAGTTAAAATATCGTTTAATAAATAGTTTGCAAAAAAAAAAACTAAAAGCAAAATCGCTTAAGTGCGACTATACCGATACAAATAAAATTTCAATATCCATTAAAGACTGTCATCTAGGATTTGCCATACATATGTCTATAAATTATGGTTTAAAAATATTTTTGTATATATACAATAAACAAATATCATCATCATGCTTATTAAGAACACCAATATTATTTGCTTGTTTGTTTGCTTGCACGATTCAAAATTGGTGAACGTTGACTCAATGATTTAAAAAAAAGTGATTTGATATACAAAGCGCAAATGCGCATCAAACTACATCGCATGCATATGGGCAACAAAAATAGCAGGATATTGAATAGACCGGAAGAGAATCTTGAAATTGTCAAAGATGATATTTTTGTGAATAATTTTTGGTGGCCAGTTTCATTCTGGGAGTGCCACTAATAGCATCATCGCAATACCATTTCAAGTATAGTGTGTATGAGAAAGACATTGTTGTCCATTAATTGAAATTTATCGATCGATTTATCTATTTCGATGTAGTGACACCGTGCCAAATGTCAACTCAACACCTCACAATTCGAATGCATGCTCTTTTTTCACGCTCTCTCTTTCGCTCTGTATCATGTTTAAATTAAATACGAATAAGCAAGACAATGACCGCGGCGGCTGATTCATCATTTCTATGGTACCATATACAGTCGCGTATATTCTATTGTAAATTCATGCACAAAAATGTTCACTTTTACAAAAGCGCTATAATCTTCGTATTCATTTGGAAAAAATAACAGTAATAATCGACACTTAAAAAATGTCGATGTCGATGGATTTGCCAGTAATTAGAGAAGATTATTACGATAATTCGGCAGCGAATATGAGACACAATAAAATGAAATGAAAGAGCACTTTGAGAATTGCGGCAAAAAAACAACAAACATGGATCTTTTTTTTCTCTCTCTTCAATTTGAAAAATCAAAATTCCAACCGATATGCTTTATCAAATATGCTATGTATTTGAAATGATGCGGTACTACAACGTGAAAAATATGTGCAACGCATTAAAAGATTGTTAATTTTAATGACCACAACATAGGGTTTCATCATGCTACTTTCATGCACAAATGCAATAATTAGCGAATAATTGCAAAATAATAAGCAAACGATTTAAAACAAACTGTCGATTTTCAGGGGTAAAATTATTAGTTGAAAATTATTTTTGAAAAACAAAATCGTTTAAAATAAAACAGACAAAAAATTACGAAAACTGTGACCAAAACGAGATAAGTTATGGTCCGTGTATGTATATGGATAAAATATTTGCTGACAGGCGCGGCCTTTTCACAAACATTGATTTTAAACTAAGTTGGGAAAATTAAGCAAGGTTTTACAAAACACATTTGATAAATTACACTACTAGAAGTGTGAACGTGTGTTGTGTGTGTGTGTATATGAGATAGAGAGAGGGAGCACAGATTGTTTGCTATGTTACTATATATGATTAAAATTGCTAGTTTGAAATGACCACAACACAATTAAATGAGATCCAATTCGAAATAGTCAGATATTGCATTGAGATTTAATGTGTATACCATGAAAATGGAATGAATAATAAAAACTAAATGTGTTGAATTCGAATGAAACTAAACTACATTTCCGCATATAACTACAACATACCTGCATTTTGACTGTACTTTTCGGCATGGTATCTTCCATCGTCTTCGGCATTAACGAGCAACACACTCATCACAAGTGATAGCTAACGATTGGAGAGAAGAAAAAAGGGGAAAACATGGCTTACTTGAAAATAGGTATTATGAAATGGTGGTGAGCACCCATTAAATCAAGAAGAAGTAAAAACACACAGAGAAAAAGAGAAAAGAATATCTGCAACAATGTTGTTGCAATTACTTTAACTCACCGTAACTATAAGCACAGTTGAATTCATTTTGGCTTTTATTTGACTAGTGGGAAAAGAAATAAGTTTGGAAAATTAACACTCGAAGTGATCTACTGGCACTATGAATTTCGCACTGATTCGTTCTAACGTCGTCGTCGTGAACTATCTTTGCGGTAATTCAATTCACCTCGGTTTTTGGCACTTGAACAAAAATTCCGGCGTATGTAAATAAACTTCTTGAAACTTTTACGGTTCACTATGTCTGTGGAATTCTCTTGGCCTCTCTATTGATTGCAATCGCGCTTTTTTGTCTTCTTCGTTTGCAAAACAACAAAGTTTCGGTCCCAAGTCAGCTGTATGAACTATCTTCTTCGAAGTCCTGAAAGGAATTGAATTGATGCGGGACTCTTTTCGTCGTTTTAAATACAAATCTGGTCACCTTCGGAACAGTGCGCGCAAACATACCAAAAGCACCAAATGCATCACCCAACAGAAACGAAAGAGATAAAAAAAAAACAAACAAACAAATAAACAAATAAACATTTCCAAAAGCACCTTAGAATCAAAGTATATCGTATTGGAATGTGTGCGTCCGAAAGAGCAACCAGTTGATTCGGGCAACAGTAATGAGTAAGACGAAAAATGACACCAACCGAAAAAAGTGTTTTTTTTCTTCGCTGTTGATGCTGCGATAAATTTGTTATTAAGTGTGCATTTGTGTGGGTGCATGTGAGCTGTATCATTTTTATGTATATTCCACTCTTTTTCTTTCTCCCATTCTGAACATTGTATTCTGATTCTGACAGGGTCTTTTTTTCATATTTGTATTCACTTTATTTGTTCACAGAGACAAATTTGTGTGAGTGTGTGTGTGTGTGTATGGTAATGTTGGTGTTGCGTTGATGCATTGCCCAAAACAAAAACAGAAAATCAATTCAATCAGAGCATATAAAGCAACTACATGTGTGACAGACAAACGACTACAAATTGCCAAAAAATACAACCGATTCGGTAAAGTTCGCAAGTGACACACAGAACAACAAACAAATACATAAACTGGTCATTATACTCTTTCACATATCCCTCTCAAGAAGCGACAGCACAAAACAAAACCACTAAACAATAATAATAACGAATGAAAAATTTCAGGTGAACAACAACAATAAAAAAATATGTGTATGCATTTTGGCACAAAACACAGCAATAGAGAGAGAGAGAGAAAGAGCAGTGAATGCGAGCAAATGTGCGCGCACGCTATGCCGTTGATTCATCGGCTATGTATTTTGAATAAACATCAGTTGTTGTCGCCAGTTTTCCGCGCGCCAGCCCATTTGATGTCAGCATGCGCCAAAATGAGCTTATGATTACGGAGCCCAGCAGCTACTTTATTACAAATTAATTTTAAATTTGTTAGTTTATCATATACGGTTGCTTAAAATGTGATATTCTTTTGCGGTCTCCTTTTATTGTTATAGCTATCGCTGTAGTTTTTAATTCGACTGCCTCTTAATTGGGATGTTTTCAATTTAGCCTCGGCGAAAATGACCGTTTCGATTCGATTTGATCCTCTGATCAAATGGCATATTTTAAAAACAAAACAAATGACATTTGAATATGTGACCACTAGCACCGCTGTGCAAAGACACTCGAATTTAGCAAAAAATAATTTCGCCCAACAGTCAAAGAACACCATCAATTCCGAAAATCCACACGCATATCGATTTTTATACATAAACGATTTTAATGTGTGTGCACTTCAGTTTTTTTTATTTGCATCCATTCATTTTGCTCTCTCAATTACTTTATTTCACATTACGACACGAACAAAGTAGCGAGAAGATTTAAAGACGGAAAAGCGGTTCACTTAAATCAATAACGATTGCATTCGATTTATCATAATCTCCAAAGATCATTAGAGGGGAAATATTCATTTTCTACGCACGTAAACGTTTTACGGTTGGAGCATAAAAAGCTGCAACTACATTATTGTATCGAACACACAAACACAAAATGAATGTTTATCCTTGAAATTGGTTAAGGAAATCTCAACGAAATGATTTTCCCCATTGGTTAAATGGAATCAAATGCAGATGTTTGCAAAAAATGACATGGAATACAAAGAGAGGAAGAAAAAGAAGCTGTGAAAAATGCATTTAATTTTGCAAAGATTATCGACCAACTCATTACGATGATTTATTACAATCGAATGACAAATTTAAGCGGACATGTGTATACCCTTTTCAGTTTTAAATTCAAAATGACACAATGTCGAAAGTGTTAAAAAAAGAATACAAAACATTTTTGGAACTAAGATGCCGCCTGTCTAATGTTATTCCAAGTTCAATGATTTTGTTCGAGAGTATCACGATCGTAAATTTTTTTTTTGGACAAATAATATACAAACAAAAACGTTGCTAATCAAATTTTCACATGAAATGACAAAAAATTAAATTCAAGTTCAAAAATTGATTAATATTTTTTGTTATAAAAGAAAAATGCGATTTTTACTTCATATGGGCGACTTTTTGTCACCGGAAACGTTTTTCACAGAGTCATAATCACCACAAATCAAATGAATATACGATTGCAAGTGGCGGTCTTAATTTTGATGATTTTTTTCTTTCTTGGTTAGTCTTTCGAGAACTTGCTCGATAGCATTTAATTTACAATTAAATTGTGCATAATTGAAAGGTTATTGGCTTTTACCATGCAACTCCAGTGCATTGATCTCGATCCGTGTTTCTTGTTTTCTTATAAATTTTTTTACGGCTCATCTCTTGGCTCATCGCGTGCGCGATGGACTCGCATTTCTCGGAATTTCGTTTATAAAAAAAATCTACCTTCCTTGTATAAACGTTATTTTGTTAACATTACTCAACCGTAGGTATTTTTGGACATTGAACAGATGCCATGTGATACATTGTGTGTATGTGCACAAAATTGATCGCGGTTCTGATAAAAGAACGAGCCTCTACCACTTGAAAACAAATTAATTATTTTTCTTCGTCGTCGTCTTTAGAGTTTTGTGTTGTTCTTTTTGGTTTCGACAGATTTGCATTTATTTTGTTTGGCATTCTTGACAAACATATTATTTGTCTGCATATTTACTTCAAATACAATTTCAAATACAAAAATGAAGAATGTGTCAAAGAGTATGGCAGTACACAAAAATGAAATGAGCCACTTCAGAAAAATGCCAGTAAAAATAGACGCGGCATATAATCATCCGGTTTATTTTGTTGAAAATTAGCGCACTAATTTATCTATTCTATATTTGATGTTTGAATGAAGAAGAAGAAAAAAAAATTTGAAAATGACATTTGATTTTATTTGTTTGCATTTTTTATTACTTGCGATCTTTTCATTGTTCCCGCTCCATTTTAACAATGTAATCGCATCGTTTGAGCGCGACAAAAATGTAGTTTTAATGTCCAAAAAATGTTGGTTTTTATTTAACTATAAATTCTCAGTAAACTGACTTCACCCATTTTTGAATGTGTGGATTTTTTCGCTTTTTGTTCTGATTTTTCGTGTTTCTTTTGGTCGTTCGATATGGTTCATACCGATGTGATATCGCATTTAATCTTATTTATGACTTTAAATGTCTCCATTTAGATTTCGTTTTTGTGTATTTAGACCAATTCTAATAATGATGGCGGCTACCAAAAAAACACTCACACAAAACATTTGAAATCGAGTATTGAAAGTGACAGCGATCAAGAGAGAGAGAGAGAGAGAGAGAGAGAGAACACATAAAAAATAACCCATCGAAAACAAAAGCCAATAATCGCGTTAAATCTGTTTCGTCGCGGTTATCTAATAAAGGCTTGCGCTAAATGACCATATTTTTGATTATGCATTGAGATAACATGACGTGAGCTGAAGAGGAATGTTCCAAAAAAAATTTTTTGTATACGAAACAACGGAGACAACGGTTTATTCCATATAGGCGAGGTGCGCACATAAAAAAGGATATTCAATGACAACAGGTGATTGTTGTAGGTGGTATTATGCTTGCAATTTACCAACTAAACACTTTATTGAAATGACTAACGATGAAAAAATGTGGATTTTTACGTGTGAAGGCCGGACGTAAGTCGTCGCACATCAACCGTACATTGATTATTGATGAAATTTACGTCGCAGCCATCAAACAACGAGTAATAAAGTTGATTATTTTGACAGTAATTAGTATTTTTTTCGATATTGTGGAGGATCTCGCGTCAATCTTATAATTTAGAGATAAACTCTATCAATTTATGTGGTAGCTTAATTGATTGGTGCTTGTTTATTTTTTTATTGTTTTTTTATTAAAAGGTGAAGATCCTTACACCGATAATTTACATTTTTACTAAGAAATAAATGTTTGTCGTCTGAATCCGTTTGAGTCAGTCTTGTATTTTTTTGGCATTTCCTTTGTTTTAAATTCATAGATAAGGTAGAGTAAATCCAAATTTACATGACATATTGTCGTCTTTTTGCTTATCGTATTAGTGCACTCAACTCGTAAGACAATACAAACGGTCGCCAACAACATTTTATATTCATGACTGTATCATAGTGAATGGAACAGCTACCGTGAGTTGTGAGCAGCATTTTTTCGACATTCAAATGGATTCCAATTCACTTTTTTATTCTTCTTTGGATTGATTTAGTAACATAGAAAATATTGGATTTTTTTTTTCGGAAATGACATCAACTTGATTGTTTACGTACATTCATCTAATTTTTGTGTCAATCGAATGACAGCAATACAAGATATGCGTTTTAATGTGTGATGTGAATACTGGTATCATCACACCAGCTAAAAGCTATTGTTAGCATTCACTGTATTCCTGTGTCATGACAATTGCCGTTTGTTTTTTTCTCAGCATGAATCTGTCATATACATACTAACGTCAATAACAACAGTCACGCAGGGGATCAATAGCCGATAAAGGATTCACATATGGAAAATTTCTTATTCGGTTTTTGTTTCTTTCCGTTGTTTTCTTGCTCTCTATCTTTCTCTCAAAGAATGTGATTTTTTTTTTTTCAAATTGAATAGATCGATGAGAGTATTGAAACTTATTAAAACTTGTTTGATTATAAAACTGGAGCTGATATTTTGATTTGATATGTATAAACAAAGTAAATTATTATTGTATTTTAATGAGTTGATTTGATGTTCTGGTACTCGTAAAAAAAACTGATTCCACATGCCGTAGTTAACTTGAAAAATATTGTGTGGAGCCAATGGAATTTCGTCAGTCTGACGATGATGCTATTTTTTTAGTTATAATTAAATTTGTGAGGAATTTAAAGAAAAAATATACATGAATCAAATTTTTTTTCGTCTTTATTCTCTGAACTGTTATTGGTACCGTAGAAGTGCGTGATTCACTCACTAGTTAGAATGCAATTTAATTATATTTGAAGTGCCGGTATATTTTAATTGAGCGAAATATTTGGCGACATTTTAAATAAGATGTGTTTTGATTTCAGATCAAAACGGGATCAATACATTTTTACTTTTAAAAAAATCCGCATACATAAAATACAAAACAGCAGCGTGCGGAGTGTAGTAGTGAATTCATTTGAAATTCAAAGAAAGACAAAGACAGGTTTCTGATGAGGAACATGTATTTAATTACTCTAAAGCATTTGCTCAATATGCAAGTTTTTTTCTCGATTTTTTTTCCTCGTTCAAATGGCTTGTATTTTTATCGAAATGGAATTGCTTCACATTCGATATAATATATTAAATATTAATGAAGAGTGAATTTTTGTTTTTTCCACAAAAGCGGATGTGTTATTTTCGACGAAATACAATCAGAGCGAGAGAACAAAAAAAAAACCACACAACATTCAAATGCTTGTAAAGCAGTAAATTAATGTGGAATTCCAACATCCAAAGTACCGGTGAATTAAATCTCATTGGCACCGGCGACAATTGCCGGCGACACACCGACAGCCAAACGATTCGAATAAAAAAAATACCAAATTCTTTTTTGGCGCCAATTACTTTACATTATAAGTTGTTTACGTCACGAGAGTGTTCGTTTGCATGGGCATTTCTTTCTTTATGTCGCAAAAACGAGAATCAACTGATTCTTGATCGAAAAAATGGAAACTAATGAAAGAGCAACAAGAAAAAAAATGTCGCGACGAAAAAATATCGATGGCAAATATTTTGGCTATAAATTATGCGCACTTTTATCGTTCGATCATGAGTTATCCTCCCTATCATTGCACAATGAGGATTTCTTATCCTTATTATGCTCACCTCTGAATATGGGAATAGTAATTTATGGTGTTGTTGATTGTGTAGAATACACGTGTTTATTTTCGGCAGTTGTTTTTTTTGTAAATGTGCACCATGTGACGTGATCAATTTCAATGTTTAATCGATGACTAAAAAAAACCCACAAGAGAGAGATTTTAGTGTTTGAGTGTGTTGAATGCTTTTTCAAACATTCTTTTCGCTTATATCGATCGGCGTATCTGGATTCAACAACACTATCTCCAATGAAATTAATGATCGCATTTCAGCATTTACCAAACGCAGCTATTTTTCATTTTTACTAACTGGTCATTCACTTTGGCATTTTTCAACCAAATAACAAGATTCATCTCGTTCCATAAGCCGATTTAAATGTACTTTTTTTGTTATTTCTCTCTCTGTTCCTCTATTGCTCTGACTCGCTGTATTCATTTCTTATTTTCGCTTACTTGCGTTGTGCATTATTTTATATTTTTGATTTCATATTTAAAACACCGTTAGTCAATTTAATTCACAGCACGGCAATTATTATATATCGTAACGTTTTTCGAATCATTTATTTGTGCCAAGATTTTGTTCGAATTCGTTTATCATTTTAAAAACGGGTATTTCGTCATTGTTGTTATCGTCGTGCTCGTCGTGGATATAAGAAGTGATCGAAAATAAACGATCATGATGCGCAAGTCGTATAAAATTTGGAGTGATAATCGTTTGGAGCTTCTGTTTTCTTTTTGCACCACCACGTGCTCACTCAAATATATATAACATTCGAATGCGCATGGAATCGATGTTGTTTTTGGATGCCAGGATACACAGTCAAATTCGAACAAAAAGCCACTCAAACATTTTCGGATTAATTTCGAATGGATGTCGTGGAGCGGACAATACGACTAAAAATAAATGTGTGCTCAAATAAAGACATAAATTTTAGTCTTTTGAATGGTTAAAAGTCAGTAACTCACAAAAACGTATTTTCAAAGTTTCCAACAATTATTTGATTGTATTCAAACGGAACTCACGATGGAATTTTTCGATCGTTAAAATTAGTCAATCACAAGAATAAAAAATATGTCTTACCTATAATAAGAATAAAAAGCGAGATAAAAACAAAATAACGAATGAACTACAAACAACGATTGATAAATGAAGCAGTCTACTAGGTGAGCTTAAGAATGTTATTATATTTATCGTGTTCCACAGTTTAATAACGACTAATACGATCAAATGCCGATAATCGAGTTGAAATCCAACTTTCCGCAAAAATATGCCGTCTACATTGTTTGTGTCTCTTTTTAATTCGGAATTAACGCGCGTTTTGCAAATATATAAGACATTTTTCCTTGATGTGTCATTGGCATTGAGCGAAACACGATGCACTACTACAAAGCGTCACAAATCGAATGTAATCACTGACAAAAGTGAAATGCACATTCTCATATCAATAGCGCAATTATTTCTATCGGTATGACACTACATCCCAAAAGAAAAAATAAAGAAATCCCATTTATTCATTCTTTTTATGAGCATGACTATTACTGAAAACAATGTTGATTGTTAATGATTCGTTTTTTTTCTCTTTTGCTTTTCTCTACGACCAATTACCGTTTATTTATTAGGTGTAGCTGATGCAGGCCGTTTTAATTGTTGTTCCCACTGTTATATACCGAGAACGAGGAATGGAAATGAACGCGTCGAAAAATTATAGACATGATGATTGCGATGAATAATGCAATTGAACGTGAATTGTGTGAAAAATGGGTAAAATTTATTGGTGAACATTAAATAATTGTTCGCTTGTATTTCAACGTGTGCAGCTATCTGTGAGTTGAAGGGGAATTATTTTTTTTTTTAAATCAATATAAAATTGGCATTGCATTACGGTTAAATATAAAGAGACTTAAATATTTCTATTCAATTTGCTCAAGAAGAGAATAGTTTGTTTTTCTGTACATTCTACGTTCTGATAATAGTCTTTGAGGCAAAGAAAGCTCATAAGTACTTTTGATTATTATACAAGAAGGAGATTATTACAATTTGGTTTTAGATGGTGCTTATAACAATTCGGAGCGGGAGTTTAAAATAATTTAAATGGAAAACTATTTCTTTTTAGTTTTAAAATTGTAGAAAAAGGACCGAAAGTCTTGTCTTTTATCTTTCAGTTGACACATGAAAAACACGAAAACTTGTCAGCCAAAACATAGTCTCTTATTAATCAAGCAAACTCATCAAAATATGTCCGTTTATTTTTAAATCGAGCGAAACGTGTTTTTTGTTGTCTTGTATTTTGCGCTAAATAAGCAGTCATGAGTGCTTTCTTCTCTATTTCACTATATGTGATGCACCACACCTATTTATTTTGCGCAACAATTAGTTTTGCGAATAGCTACTTAATTTGATTTCGATGTTTGTGCCACATTATTGTCAATTTATATTCGGTTAATGGCAATGGGGCAAGTTTTTTCGCCTGAAATATGAGCAAAGATTTTGACTTTTACGATCGCCCATTAACGATCGAGATATCGTTAAATGAAGAGATATTGTTTCTTTTGAATCCATCGGATGATATCCTATTTTATGTGTTAACATGTATTATGATTGCATTTCATCTACATTGAAATTGTAATGAAGAATACCATCTGAAGGTGCTGAAAGATTATCGAACTATATATTAATAGTCGATTGATTCGTATGGTTATTTAACAAAATAATAATATAAATTGAGATTATTTGTGTTTCTTTTAGTGTTGACTTCGAATCGAATCGTCATGACACGATATTTCCATTACTTCTTTATCTTTCTAAATCTTATATATTTGTGATATTCGCCAACGAATTTTATTCGGAAATTTTAATCTAACTGATATTGCTCATCGAACTGTCATTGCATATATTTCTTTCCTATCGGTGTCTACTTGAAAAATAATTAATTATTTTTGAATATAAATTTTCAAAAAGGTGTATAATAACAAAGAATCTATTAACATTTAATTAAGAAGAAGAAAAAAACAAATTGGTTAATTTAGTATCCAATTAATATTTGAAATCGCGTTATGTAACATAAAAAATTTCGTTTTCTTTTCGCTAATTAAGAACCGATACTTAAATGCACATTAATCATTTTTTTTTAATGATGAAGGAAGTGTGCTCCTTCCGCTGAAGTCAGAATTTCGGAATGACAGATGTTAATCATTTATGTGTTTGTCAGCAAAAAAAACACACATATTTTGCTTTGTAATTTAATAAATGGTTAGAGAAAAATGTGCGAAAGGTTCGTCGTCGATATGATAAATCTTTTGAAACAACATATCTGTGATGCATCTGTCAATTTGTAAACCAGAAAAAAAATTAATCTGATCTATGATGTGCAAACTTGTTTTCGAGTACACGTTTTGAATGAGTTTGTTTTTTTGCAGTTTAACGCGACATCGTTGACATATGAAGGGTTCAGAGGAAAAAATTTATGTAGAAAAGTTAAGCGGAAAAATGTTCAGGAGCTCAACTAAAGCTATTTGGTATCAATTGGCTGGGCTATTTGGTACCAATTAGCTTTGCTAAATGATATCATTTCGCTCTCGAACATTTTTCCGCAGAACTTTTTTACATAACATTTTTCCTCTAAGCCCCTCATATCGATTGACGTTGTTCCATCAAAATAATTTAATAGAATAAAACCAAACAATCCAATTTTTTGAATGCTTTCAACTAGTCCAAAAATAAAAAAAATAGAATCGAAAACAAAATAGCTTAATGAAGCGGCAAACATTTCAAATTTAGCAATACCAGACAAATCTAGATGAATTTTATTATCATGCTTTTTTTGAGTCGATGCTAATTAATTTTACGAAACTTTTGGGTTTGATAGCAATAAAAATGCAGTCGCATTTTAATTTCATAAAAAAACATGTATGGCAGAGTAAACGAGATCGCGAGTTCAACGATTCGGTGGATTTGTGTGTGTTTGCACCATTGAAAAGTCGCCGAATTTCTTCTGGCGCGCCAGCGACGCACAAAACAACGTTACCTTTACAAAATCAAAAAACAAAACAAACATCGATATCAATTGAGAGACGAAAAGGGAAAAAATTACACTCGAGCTGTCACGCACGCACACACACACACACATACTCACACAAGAGCCCGACTGCAAACGTGTTTTTTATGTGATTTGGTGTTGTCTTTATTTACTATCATTTTTATTTCGGTTGGTCGTTGGCATCGATGTGTTTGTTTATTTGTTGTTGTGCGATTCGTAATAAAATGAGTATCAATGTCCGCGAAGGTCGCCAATGATGATGATTATTTTAATATAGATTTACGTATGACACGTAAAATATAACGAATATGTTTGACATATAAAAAGCAAACCAAAAAAAAAGAAAAAATGATTGTGAATGCGGCGGCGAAATTATTATGTGCGATTAGAATCGGCCCCCGGAACCGATACCGGTGAATAGTCAGATCGTGCAATATAAAATAAGAAAAGTTAAAAATGTATCATTGAATATATGGCACAAAAATAAAACACATTCAAATATGAGATGGAATTTCACGAAATATTCTTTTTATCACGTGCAACGATATTTGTAGTGGCTCACACCAAATACCATCAAAATGGAATTTCAAATCAAATGCATGTGATCGTTGTTGGGACAGCGACTTTATAGCTTTTATTCATGTTTTCAATGTAAATTAACAATTTATTCGTTGATATATGATATTCGGACAGCTAAAATCTCTGAAGATATTTTCATTTTTTTTTTCAAAAGTAGGGATAAAAATCACAGAATTCGTGTTTAATTGTAACGCTTATTTTTAATCATACGATGTGAACAGTCTCAATCTGCCACTTATTGCAATGACCAATGAAATTCGTTCGATAGCAATCCAATGGATTTAAAATTAGACACAATCAACCAATGAATTTGATTAAAGTGAAAAAAAGAAGCGAAAAATGGTTTTTATTAATACACGCCTGCATTTTAAGCAGGAAAGCATAAAAAATCGCATAATTATCGAATTTTGTTGGAAAATCTATTTGATATGGTGACGTCTGGTGCTTAAATTATTACAGAATATCTCTTGATAATTTCTTGATTCAACCGAAAATATCTCAGAATTACTCATTTTTCTCCCACTTTTCTACGCTCTTCTGTGTAGCTGTGTTTCTTATGATTGATAAACTATTACTAAAATTTCTTAATTTGGATACTTTTTTTTGAATAAAAGTATTATTCTTGAATGGTATAATGTTCAATAAAGTAAATGAAACAATGTATTCTTTATAAATGAAAAAAAATCGCATTATCGTTGTAAAATCGTAAAATATTGTGATATTGTACGTAAGAAATGTTATGGATGTAAGATCCAAATTTTACTGGGTAACCAACCATTTAAGTAAGTTAATCACACACCAAAAATTAAATATTATTTCATATTTTTCGTGTTGTAATTTATTTTTAACACGCACATTCATGAGAAAACGTCAAATATATATGTGTGTATTTTTCCATTCGCCAATGTAGTCATTTCGTTGAAATAAAAACTGTCTTCATAAAAACGTAGTAAAATATTTTGTTGATATCTTTTGTTGGCTCGGGCTGAATTCGCTTCAACATTTCTTTTTCTTTCACTGTTTGTATGCTGGTTGTCGCCGATTATAATAATTGTTCTGAGCAAAGGGAGAAAGAGCCAGAGAGAGAGAGAGAATGCCTATTTTATTTGAATGTTTATGTTTATTTTTGGATGCAAGATCTTGTGTCTTGGCAAAAGTTTGTTGCATTTTCAAATTCGCGTCTTTGTTGAATCGTTGTCGATTTATATGTATATGAGATTGAATAACACGTGCAAAATTATCGAGAGATTTTCGAATAAAAAGGGCGATTCACACACAAAAATAATGATGCTTTTTGGTGCTTAAGCGTGAACAGGGTCAAACAGCTGCGCCTTCTTCTTCAATTCGAATTTTATTGAACATGCATTTCTGTTAATCTTTTATTTTATTCGTCGATATTTAATTAATTGATGCTGCTTTGAGAGTGTTTCGCGAGTCTAAGATTTTATCGCCTCTTTTTTCGGTTTTGGAATTTTATTTTATTACTTCTTGTCTCGTTTTCACGTACTAGTTTGGTCGTTTCAAAGAGTTTGAGGTGCCACGGAAACTTCATATGTTTGTGCAATTTTTTTGTTTGTTAATAAAGTGAAATTTTTTGATTATGATCAGCATTTGGGTATGCTTTTAATGGTCAATATGTGCCCATTAGCGAAGAAGGAAAAAAAATCGTTGCATCGAATGTCCAAATCAATTTGAATGTTTTATAATCGTATTTGCTACTGTATTGTAATGAATTCAACAACATCGTCGTCGCCGCAACGGTCGTTTATCAATGATGATGATGATTGCAGATTCGCGTTCACAATGTGACATTTGTGGAAGACATTGTGTGTGTATATGTTATAAAAGCTGTCTAAGTCTTTAAACCGTCTAGGTCTAGGCGAGTTCATTAATATTATCATCGCGTCATTCAAAGTTACATCGAACTTTAAAAATAGAAAATTTGAATAAGAGAGCATCATCGATTTCATTGAATTTAAATATTTGAATCTACTCAGCGATCGAAAATCCAATCGAAAAGTCAAAATTCACTAACCTATCACAATGAGTAGTGTGGAGATTACTATTTTCTTCTTCTTTTAGAATATGTTAGATTACAATTTTTTCAGCGATGTTCATAAGAAGGTAGCCAATGTTATCATTTGATAAAATGTTGCTCACCCACTCACAATGGAAGCGATTGCGTCATTTTTTTCAGTGAACTGGATATTGCACTATGTATTCTTTTGGGTAAATTCATTTTTTTACGGTCTGAAATCAGTTTTTCTTTTTCTTAATAAATTAAATAACGAAAAATTAAATTTGATTAATATCGTGCAACGTCACCATTTCCGGTCTCTACCTGTGATCATGTGATAATTTATGAACGACTATAAATGAATATTTTTTTAATAAAAAAAAAATTCATGTATAAAGAGTAACAAAGACAAATGACAATTATAATCCTGTTTTATTGATTTGCGGTTGCTTTGAAACTGAACACTTTTATTGATAAGCGGATTGATGATTCCAATGATTGAAAAAGGAAATATATCAAAATGAAGAATAAGACTTAAAACATGAACTTGGTCATTGCAAGCCAGTTCAACAGTTGATTCTATTAGCTAAAATTCGAGAGAGAGAGAAAGAAGACATAGTTTGCCACATTCCAAATGCACCAACCATGTAATTTTTGCACTTTGATTTTATGCAGTGTCCGCGTCTGGTGGTTTTGTTGCCAGAATATTGAGTACTTCTTGAATTTCCGGTGGAATGGGCGGTGGCGTTGGTAAATGTTCACCCTGTATTTATGAGAAAAAACATAAATATAAGAATTCCATCATCATACATTTGTTTGATTTGCCAGAAAAATGCATACCGTTGCTGCAAATCCGTTGGCATCTGCCGTATAATCTACGCGATATAGTTTCCCATCATCGCCAATATATTGATAAAAGCCAGTTGCACGAATTGCATCCTGGCCAGTTTCCGTTTTTTCGATTTGGCCACTTTCTTCAGCAACTATTCCATTTTCGGTCTCATATCTTTCGGTACGAAAATATAACACCCTTTTTAGTTTTAGTTCATTTAATTTTGCAAAATAAACTAAAAAGACACCGAAAAAAGCTTAAAATTGAACGGCCATTTAGCTGAAATTAGGCGCATTCTGCTTTTTTGTTTGAAACTTTTATTAAACACGTATCCACTTACAAATAACGATATCCATTTTCATCTTCTTCTTGCTCTTGACGGAGAATTTTAATATCTGCTGCGGCCGCACCTAAAGTTACCGGTTCATCTTGATTCACATTTGCTCCACTCCGGGATAATTTTATCGATGGAGATGGTGCAAATGGTATTTTTACTGGTGGAGGTGGAGGTGGTTTAAATGGAAATGGAGCTAATGGAATTTTTACCGGTGAATTTGGCGATGAAGCTTTTGAATTTGAATTAGCGCCACCAATATTCACAACAAAATTTGCGCCGGATCCACCAAATGTATCGGCTTGATGAACATATTTGCCATCGTTATCACCACGATATCTTTGAATGATAAATAATACAGTTTTAAATTTAGATTAACGTTTGGCCACAAAAGAATAATATGCGAATAGAATTCAAAATTCAATTTCACCTTCCATCGCCGCCAGCTGGACGATATTTACCTGCAAATTTGAAACACATTCAAAATGATTGGGTGTTGAATTTTAATCTTTTAAAGAAAAACAATTGGAAATTGGAAATATTTACCATCATTCTGTGCACAAACCAAATCCAATCCAAAAATAAATCCAATCAACAGTATTTTCACCGTCTGCATGATGATGATCATTGTATAATATAAAAGAAGGGAAAAAAATCAAAATTTACGTCCGACGAATTTTTTATTTTCAAAAAAAAAAACCCAATTTCACAAGAATAATAGTTTTACCATAATTTCGTTATGTAAACGTTCGTTTGACTACAGCTTTTATCGTCGATTGCAGTGGCAAATGAAATTTTCACACTTTATATGCGCAATGCAAGTTGCATGCTTTATATGCGCAATGTGAAATGTCATTCATTCCATTTGAATTTCATAATCGAAAAAAAAAGAAATCCAAACTGGTCTAATTAAACGATAAATTTAAGTTGATTATTATCTTGCTGAGAGGCATTTCATTTGATAGAATTGTACGATAGAGTCGTGCACTATACACACACAAAGAGTGTATCTTCTTCCAACGCTTTGTGCGGTATAATGCAAATCGTCAAGATTTGAATGAAGTAAGCTTTCTACCTTCGAATTGATTTGAATATTTGATTATATTCACACTCAAAACGATTACCAGATATTATTTATTTTTATCATCAAATAGATGTAAATGTCATCGGGTAGGTACTTTTTTGAGCTTATTAATTTGGGATTGTTTTCATCGGGGCAATATAATATGGAATTTTACTGATTATTAAGCCATGCTAAATGAACATCTATGAAAACGTAACGTGTTAATCATTGAAAATGGCATTAAAAAAACTAGATTGTGCTTGCTCATTTGCCACAGCAACTATGTCATCGAATGCGTAAAATGACAATATCATTGCTTTGACGGTCCGAGGCTTTTTTCAGTGAACAGTTGTTTCAACTGATAGAACTGCTAGGGGGTAGACATAAATTTTTACTATACAAAACTAAAAGTATACCAGAATCTACTAGCTCATATTGATTATTCGACCGATTCATACAAAATACATTTCCAATACTATTCTTATGATGAGATTAACGGTACATTTTTGTAAACAAAATATTTGCGTTCAGTGAGAACAATGGTTTCTATTGTTCTCCGTATAAATGTCTTCACACTGGCAATGCGATTCATTTGGTTCAATACTAGGAATTCTAGCAGAATATTTGCCTATAATGATCTAAAAAACTTTCCAGAATTCACACGGATTATTATTATTACGTTAACGTTTGTCTGATCAAATTTCTTCTTTGAAAGGGAAAATATATAAGAATGAAAGAATGTAAACGAAT